ATTAAAGGGTTAGTAATATGAAATCATGAATTTAAAAATATTTCCCTTTCAACCCAGTGAAGTTGTTACCGTTGCCGTTGGTCAGCTTTTTTTCCATCTTTGGCCGGAAGCCTCTTCACCTTGGCCCCCAAGTCCTTTAGATAGAATCCTGACTTTGATGGCGTCCTTATGTCTGGTCTAACAGGGTGTTCTAGGCTCATCTTGCATATTTCTTTTCTCAGGTCTGGAATGAGCCATTTTTCCAGGAAGCCTTGGTTTCTTCTGGTGAGAAATGTTATTTGAAAGCCGTAGTCTGGGCTCTAGGGATGCATTGCTGTTGTGCAGATCACTGTTTCCCTGCCTTTGTGGTAGTCAGAGCCGGAGTGGTATATATAAACACACACACACACACACACACACACACACACACACACACGAGTTCATATTTTCCTCTTTCTGTCTTTCTTGTCTTGCTTTTTCTTTCTTTCTTGATGGATTTTTGCTTTTGTTGCACAGGCTGGAGTGCAATGGTGCGATCTTGGCTCACCGCAACCTCCACCTCCCAGGCTCAAGTGATCCTCTGCCTCAGCCTCCCGAGTAGCTGGGATTACAGGCATGTGGCACCACGCCTGGCTAATTTTTTATTTTTAGTAGAGACGAGGTTTCTCTGTATTGGCCAGGCTCGTCTCGAGCTCCTGACTTCTGATGATCTGTCTGCCTCGGCCTCCCCAAGTGCTGGGATTACAGGCGTGAGCCACCACACCCAGCTGAGTTTATATCTTCAATTCAAATCCGTGACTTCAAGGTGTTTGCTTGACTTCCTCTGTCTGCTTTTCCTTGTTGACAAGGACATCGGGGGTGACAGAATTGCACACAAGGCAAGGCATTCTCAGAAAGAACTCTACTGGCCGTGCGCAGTGGCTCACGCCTGTAATCCCAGCACTTGGGGAGGCCAAGGAGGGTGGATCTCTTGAGGTCAGGAATTTGAAACCAGTCTAGCCAACATAGTGAAACCCTGTCTCTACTAAAATACAAAATTAGCTGGCCATGCTGGTGGGCACCTGTAATCACAGCTCCTCGGAGACTGAGGCTGGAGAGTCGCTGGAACCGGGGAGGTGGAGGTTGCAGTGAGCCGAGAGCATCGCCACTCCTCTACAGCCTGGGCAACAGAGTGAGAGGTCGTCTTAAAAGGAAACAAAACACACACAAAACCTCTGCTCCTCCCTGTGGCGGCTGAATGAACATTGTAACATTTGTTGTTTGTTCATTCCTGGAAATGGTTTGGAAAGAACCCTGCCGCTCCGACTCCTTACTGCTGCTGAGCATTGTAGCATGTCTTTTTGTTTTTGAAAGATCTAACATTTGTTTTTCATATGTACTCACAGTTCCTCCCAGTTTCACGCGTTGACATTGTGTCTGCGTTCAGAGCGTTGCCTTGCATACTGCTCCTTCTCTCCTCCTGAGTCTCAGTCTTGCGTGGAGATAAAGCACTCCTCACCAGCCGCTCTTGCTCTTCCCGATGTGGTTTGGTTTTCTGAAGCTTGTTTGTTGCCAGTGGCTTCAGGCGGGGATTTTGGGAATACCGTTGTTCCCTGAGGACTGGATGTTGAAGAAAGCCTACTGCCTTTATACTTGAAAGTAACTTTGTTTGGATATAAAATTCTTGGCTCACATTTCTTTCCTTGTGTATCTTAAATATGTTTATCTCTGTTTGTATGTATATATTTTAGAGATGGGGTTTCATCATGTTGGGTCAGGGTGGTCTCGAACTCCTGACCTCGTGATCCGCCCGCCTCGGCCTCCCAAACTGCTGGGATGACTGGCGTGAGCCACTGTGCCCTGCCAAGTCACCTAGACTCTTGCTTGGGTGGCTCAAGGAATTTTTCTTTAGGTAATGTTTTTATTGGGCTGTGTTTTGGTGTTGGTGGTTCTGTTTTTTCTCCCCCTAGGTTGTGGTGTAACCCTTTAATGAGTAGTTTCAAGCACCCTCCCTCTTGCTTTCTGGAGAGTTTTCTTGAATTCCAGTTTTTATTATTCCATTTCATTGCTTTAGTTTTCATCTTTTTTCGAGACAGGGTCTCGCTCTGTTGCCCAGGGTGGAGTGGAGTGAACTCCCAGTCTGCAATGGCTTTCCTGCCTCAGCCTCCTGAGTAGCAGGGACTGCAGGTCTGTGCCGCTGTACCTAGTTAATTTTTAAAATATTTTGTAGAGACAGGGTCTTGGTACATTGCCCAAGCCGATCTTGAACTACCGACCTCAAGCGATCCTCCTGCCTCAGCCTCCCGAAGTATTGGGATTACTGGTGTGAGCCACTGTGCCTGACCAGTTTTCATCTTTAGCGTGACTAGTATACATATGTTAGGTCTTCTTTTCTTGTCTTACGTGCTACTTTTTCTTGAGTTTTTTTCATCTCTTTCTTTTTCTTGAAATTTTTCTCACTTTGTTTTTCTGGAGGCACTGTTGTGTTTATTTGTTCTAAGTTTCTTCTAGTTTAGTCTTAATTCTGAAGTTATTTTTTCTTTTGTTTCTGGTATATTCTCAGTTCTAGGACCTTGTTTCTGAGTTTTTCTAATGCTAGTTTATGGTTAATGGTATGTTATATGTTTAGCATATTTCAGTTTGTTTTGAAATACTGGGATATACCTTTTTTTTTTTTTGACGTTTTCATCCTTTTGGGGATTGTATGTTTCTAGAATGCTTTCATTGTCTGCTGTGATGAAGCTGTTTTGCTTCTTACTCTTTTTAAAACTTATTTTTGTGTGATGTTGGCCTCAGTACTTTTTGTGGCTCATTTTTCTATGACTTTGGCTTTTCTGAGTGTTCAGAAGGGAGGCTTGGTTTAGAATCATTCTCTAAGGGCAGTGTTGCGGGGCTCTTTCCTGTGTGGTTTTTAGGAAGTCTTAAACCTGCAGCAGCTTATTTTCTGATTTCTCTGGGCTCTCTTCTCCCCTCCCACCTTTAATTAGCTTTCATGCTCCTTTGTCTCCAGTTTCCATGCCCGCACATTTTGTGTTCAGTTCCAGGCCATTTCTTTTTAATGTATTTGGCCTAAAAGGGAGCTTTGGACAATGTGTTTTGAGAGGTCGTAGGGTCCAGAACACTCTGGCCTCTGGGTTAGCCCTGCAGGCCCCTGTGTGTGTCTCCTGGTGGGTCCGGCAGCTGCTGCTCTGGCCCGGCTCCTGCTTCCCTCTGCCTCCTCCGTCCTATGCCCGCCTGCCCTGCTGAGCTTGTGGCTTCCAGTGTCCCCATCTGCTCGTATTTAGGGTTCTTGAGGACTATCCTGTCGCCTCGTTCTTTTGTCAGTGTTGGCCTGGAGTTTGGCTTTGCTATGGTTGGAGCTCTGTGTGTCTGTATGGGAGGATTCGGGGAGATGAAACGTCTGTCTCATTCCGTCTTTCCTGAGTGGGACTTTTTAGAGGTTCAGCGCTGGTCCCTCTGAGGTTTTGTGTTTCCCTGTCCAGTTTTGTCATCAGCTCTGTTTTTCGTTAAGGACAGTTACTTGATGTTTTCTCAGTTCATCTAATCTTGTATCAAGTTACAAGGTGCCTTTGCTGTTTTATTGGTCATACATGTGATCACACATTTATGAAAAATATTGCCTTTACTCTATAAAAATAAGATTTAGGACAATGCTTGGCTCCTCCTTCCACACATTGTTATCTCCAAGAAATTCCAGAGCTGTTGCCATTTCAGCGGTGAAATGTAAGTCTGGACAAGGGAGAGGAGGAGCTGCAGAATTTGTAGGATTTCGGGACGTGTGAGGCCTGCTCATTTAATTTGATTCCTATTGGGGCTTATCCATTAGCAGAAGTTGTGAGTAGACTCAGAGTTGAAACCATGTGACCTGAAAATCCCACCTTTCTTTCTGCCGCGGGGGTTGTGATTATGGACAGTAAACGGACCCTTCCTGGTGAAAGGACCTGTGCTGTACAGAGCTGCGCACAGGGTTTCTGCCCTCCAGAAGTGTGTAGTGTAGTTCAGGACAGGCAGTTTATTTCATACTGTTTATGTATCCATAATTAAAGTGTAGTGTGATTAGAAAATATGATGGTCACATTCACTCCTGATTTCTAGGACATGCTATTTTGCAGTACCGTATTTGGACCTGTGTGTTCACAGACCATAGTTTGAGTGATGCTGCCTCATTTTTATTTTGGAAAATAAGTTCTCTTGAGGCCTAATCGGAGTGTCACAGGAGCTTGAGGAAAGCCCCTGACTGAGGGACGGCCCCGCCCTGGCAGCACAGCTGCGGACAGGACAGATGGTTCCCCCTTGGTCGTGGTGTGGGGATGCCGCTCGGGTTCAGGACAGAGCCTGAGAGCAGAAAGAAAGCAGAACAGAGGTTCTGCCACTCCACCTGGCCTGTGGGGTAGCAGCAACGGAGTCTAGATGGAAGGGTGCCCCTGGGAGAGACTGGGGAGGAGGATGGCATATCACCATGGAGACCAGTGATGTGGTGCTGCTTTCTGGGATGTGGTGAGTGTAGCAGGCTGAGGCCCCACGGAGCAGGAAGCAACAGGACGCTTAGTGTAGGCAGTCAGGTCCCACTGGAGACGTGGGCTCAGGGAGGACATGTGCCGGCCAGTGTTGGGAAGGCGACTTTGGAAGGGCATGAGGAATGCACTGGGAACAGAGAGGCCCTGGGCAGCTCGTCCAGTGGTTAAGGAAAGAGGCAGCGGGTGGTGTTTTCAGCGATTTGTTAATTTTCAAAGAAACTAACTTTTTGGTGGTTTGAGGCACCCCGCATGTAAAAATCTGCAGACGTTTACGGCCTCTTGCATCCACCTGTGCGACTCGTGGTTTTCATCATTCCACGCGTCGTGGTGGTTAATGTCCTCTCCTCCTGCTCTGCTTCTGTTCCGTAGGTGACCAGCAGCCGGCCCCGCTGTGAGTTGAACTCTTGCGTGTTGACCGGCCCCTCTCCTGCTCTCTGGATGATGTCGGAACACGACCTGGCGGATGTGGTTCAGATCGCAGTGGAAGACCTGAGCCCTGACCACCCAGGTACAGAGCTGTGGGACAGTAGGTGAAATATTATTCTCTTTATTCTTGAAAAACCAAAAGTTGCTCCATTTTTTTTCTTTTCTTTGAATTAAGCAGAAAACAAAGTAATGCATGCCGTGTATGAAAAATTGGAATCCTGGGCCGGGCGTGGTGGCTCAAGCCTGTAATCCCAGCACTTTGGGAGGCTGAGGCGGGTGGATCACGAGGTCAAGAGATCGAGACCATCCTGGTCAACATGGTGAAACCCTGTCTCTACTAAAAATACAAAAAAAAGTTAGCTGGGCATGGTGGTGCGTGCCTGTAATCCCAGCTACTCAGGAGGCTGAGGCAGGAGAATTGCCTGAACCCAGGAGGCGGAGGTTGCGGTGAGCCGAGATCGCGCCATTGCACTCCAGCCTGGGTAACATGAGTGAAACTCCGTCTCAAAAAAAAAAAAAAAAAGAAAAATTGGAATCCTAGAGATGAGGACACTGTCAGCCCCTCCCTTCCCTCGCCTCTGCAGCCTCAGCGCCCTGTCCCTTCTGGAGGGGGCCCTGCAGCACTTTGTCTCAAGGGCCACCCCTGCTCCCGCTCCTCCGGGGTGTATGTGTGTGTTCTGTACCATCTCCCCTGCCCTGTCCCTGTGTGCAGCGTCATGGAGCCTTAAAATATTGTGTGTGTGATCCCGTGTGCAGCGTCATGGAGCCTTATCGTATTGTATGTGATCCCCTGTGTGCAGCGTTCTGGAGCCTTACCGTGTTGTGTGTGTGCGATCCCATGTGCAGCGTTCTGGAGCCTTACCGTGTTGTGTGTGTGTGATCCCGTGTGCAGCATTGTGGAGCCTTACCGTGTTGTGTGTGTGTGATCCCGTGTGCAGCAGCGTGGAACCTTACCGTGTTCTGTGTGTGTGATCCCGTGTGCAGCAGCGTGGAACCTTACCGTGTTGTGTGTGTGTGATCCCGTGTGCAGCATTCTGGAGCTTTACTGTGTTGTGTGTGATCCCGTGTGCAGCATTGTGGAACCTTACCGTGTTGTGTGTGTGTGATCCCGTGTGCAGCAGCATGGAACCTTACCGTGTTGTATGTGATCCCCTGTGTGCAGTGTTCTGGAGCCTGACCGTGTTGTGTATGTGAGGTCCTGTGTGCAGCATTCTGGAGCCTTATCGTGTTGTATGTGATCCCCTGTGTGCAGCGTTCTGGAACCTTACCGTGTTGTGTGTGTGAGGTCCCGTGTGCAGCATTCTGGAACCTTACCGTGTTGTGTGTGATCCCCTTTGTGCAGCATTCTGGAGCCTTACTGTGTTGTATGTGTGTGTGATCCCGTGCGCAGTGTTCTGGAGCCTTACCGTGTTGT